AAAGGCTCAGGAAGAACTGAGCACAAGGAGCTTCTAGGTCTGAGCAAAAACAGGGCTGGGGGTTGCTAAATTAAGGAAGACTAGGTGAAAGCAGAGAAACGCTAGGCTCCCTAGATCCTCTATCTCCCCTTCACACCCTCCCTACACAGCACTGGGCAACTGCCCTCCCTCACCCTGAGAGAAGTGAGAGGATTAGTTTCTGGAAAAGGTAAAATGGAATTTCTGGCATGAAGGTCACCAGGCATAGCTGAGGGCTGGGTACAGTTCTGAAAATGGGTAATAGGTGACTGTACCAATCAGGGTCCCAGTAGAGAAAAGACTCTCAAAGGATTTCACTAAGTGGAGTTTAGTTGAAAGACTATTTATGAAGACGTGGACAGGGTTAAGGGACCCCCCCTGGGAACAGTGAGGCTTACAAAAACTAGCAACAGCAAGGCATCTTAGACTTCCAGATCTTCAGGAAAGGAGAAAGGCCCAGTGTTATAGTGCTCCAATTGGCTGAATCCAACCAGAAGCCAAAGAGCAAGGAGGCCCACATGACACTGTCCTTAGTGGTCAGTGGCCTAAAACAAAGGGTGGAAAATGGATCTATTGGGTCATCTGGAAAGCCAAGGTGCATTTTTGTATAGAAAAACAGAAAATACATCATGACTTTCTGGACAACCTAATAGACGGGCAGTAAGAGAATAGCCAGCACAGTGACCTTATACTGATTTCTGAGTGTTAAGAACTGTGCCCCTTTCTCCGCTCAGCTGCCACAGAACTGACAGATCTTAACTCCAGGAAATAGTTTCAAACTGAGGCTGGAAAAGGCAACATCTTGCCTTCTTGTTTCAGCCTTCATACCATAAACAAAGGTTCTTTCTGTGGTCCATTTTATGCCATGTTTTGACAGTTTGTTTTTTTTTTCTGGATTCAATTCCTTCACTTATTTAATTAGGCATTTGGTTGTTCATTTATTTCACATGTACTGGTTATGCCAAACTCTGTGCTTGGTGAAAGGTTTTTGACTTTGATTGCTATTCTCTCTCTCTCTCTTTTTTTATTAAATTTTTTTATTTTAATTAATTAATTTACATTCATTCCCTGAGCATCGTCACAGCATATAAAATGTGATTTCCCATCCAGAATATACTGCATAGTGGCTTAATCATACATGTTATTGTCAAATTTCCCATTTCTAGTTTCACATATTTGTGTGTGTGTGTGTGTGTGTGTATGTGTGTGTGTGTGTGTATTTCCCCCTATTTCTCACCCTCTGCCATTTCCCATCCTCCTCCCACACTATCTCTGGTGTCTTGTTGTTTTCCATTCTCCCCCTCCTCCCCGCACATTTTATTGATTCACAAAGTTTCTTAAATAATCTACCTACTTTCAATAGCAAGTTCAGCTGTTATCTGTGAATACATGTCTGACTTTAGGCATGAAACTCTGAATAGAATGAATATACTATAAGGTAGCACCTAGCTGATTCTATATAGTTTACTACGGTCATTAAATAGGTATTTTTAAATATATTTTTTAATTTCAAGAAAAGCAGTTTTAGCTTTACTAAATCAAAGAAATGCTAAGGAACTTTGCTTAAAACTTAAAACCAGGGGAACCAGAAGTTGGTGTAATGGCTATGTCGCTGGACTCCTATGTAGTTGACCATGGTTCAAGTCCCAGACCTGATGGCTTAAACTCACACCAGGCGCATGTGCATGCATACCCAAGATCCCGAGAGGAGAATGGAGGAGAAGGGATAGCAGTGTGGCCATTCCTCCTGGGGGATGATTTATTGCTTTCTGTCTGTCTGTCTCTATCTGGCTTTCTGGCAAGCGCACGCGTCCGATAGCAAAAAAAAAAAAGAAAAACTCTTCAAAAAAAAAAAAACAACTTAAAGCCAGGAAACAGGTTAGGATTCTGTTCAAATAGCAGGTACATGAACCTATCAGCAGCTCAGGATAAGACAAAAATCCTTAAAACCGGAAAACAAAGCCTAGAAGAAAATCAGCAATGTTTTAGTCAAAGGTCTTAAAATTCTATTTCACCAGTTCAGTCTCATATAATCTATCTTCTGTTGTGGTTCGATCTTCCCAATTTAATTCTGGGATATAATATTCAACTCCAGACTTGTCCCTATGATTAGGTTGGCCATTTTCTTAGTTTTTGAACTCTTATTTCTATCTGTCTGTATTTAATTTTCCTGGCATAGCACTCCCTTCAGAACTTCTTGGAGAGCTGGTCTGGTGTTGGTAAATTCTTTAGATGTTCTTTATCTGAGAATGTTCTTGTCTTTTCTTCCCATATGAAGGATAATCTGGCCGGGTAAAGTATTCTTGGTTGAAACTGCTTTTCCCTTAACACTTTGAATATATTTTCCTATTATTTCCTCACTTGCATTGTTTCTGATGAGAGGTCCACTGTTAGCCTGATGGGATAGCCTTTGCAGGTAACTTGATGTTTCTCTCTTGCCAATCTTAGTATCTTGTCTTTGTGGTTTTGGTCAATCTGGCTATAATG